CAGTCTGGAGAAGAGGAGGCTGAGGGGAGACCTCCTGGCCCTCGGCAACTCCCTGCCAGGAGGGGGCAGAGAGGGGGGATGAGTCTCTGGAGCCAAGGCCCCAGCGCCAGGCCCCGAGGGAATGGCCTCAAGCTGCCCAGGGCAGGGTCAGGCTGGCTCTGAGGAAGGATTTCTGTGCAGAAGGGGCTGTTGGGCGTTGGAATGGGCTGCCCAGGGCAGGGGGGAGTCCCCGGGATCCCTGGAGGGGTTGAAGAGTTGGGCTGAGCCAGCGCTGAAGGGTCTGGGGGAGTTGGGAACGGTCAGGGGGAGGTTCATGGTTGGACTGGAGGAGCTTCAGGGGCTTTTCCAGCCGAGATGATTCTGTGATGAGCTGCGGCAAACCCCCTGCTCTTCATCCTGCTCCAGGAGATGGATGAGTTGCTTTATTGCTCCTGGTAGCCCCAGGATTGACCCTGATACAGCACAGGGCTGCAGGAGGTGCATCCCCAGGACCAAATTTTAACTTACCCCCCTGCATCAAAACGATTGCCCATCCCACTCAGCTGGCAGGGACGCTACGACGGAACTGATGGATCAGCTGCAGAAACCAGCATCTCATTTCTTATTGCAGTCGGGCCACAAAGAGACAAAATACCAACCCAATAAATTCAGGCAAACAGCAGAATTATAACCCACTGTAAGTAAACTCTGAGCTATTAAACTGTCAGGAGCGTTTCCTTTCTCTCTGCTACCCCAAACACACCGTGTCTGGCACTGGAAGGGAAAGGAAAAGCTGGGGTTTTTTTTTTTTGTCTTTTAAAGAAACTTTGTCAAGTGTTGAAAACACAGAGCACCGAGCAAATGTGTGAAGGCTCATATCCGAGGAGCACACACAAATCTTCCGCCCTGCCAGCCCCAGTTATCGTAAAGCAAGAGCTGCTGGTATCTGTTGAATCCATCCTTGTGAAGGAGGATGAATTGCAGCGAGAGCTGAAAGATGACATGAAAATACTGACACACACCCGTTACTAAGGTTTTATAGTTAGAGACCCACCGTGCCATGTGGCAGGGGGAAGGATGCTACAGAGAAAGAAGATATCTTAAAAAAAATAAACTAGATGGCTTTGTAATTGATAGAAAATAAGCCTGGAAGGGACCGTCTGTCCCAAACAGGGACTAATTAAACCTGTTCCTCTAAATGAGACCCCATTAAATGACGTGGTACCAGTATGGGAGGAAAGATGGGGGGACTGCACCTCCTCTGTGCCTCATCACCCCCAGTAAAGCCACGATGGGGAGCTGCTCCCTCCGCACCACTGGCCAGCAGGTCTGACCTGCTAACCTCGAGATAGTTGCACATCTCCCTTAAAGTCTCATTATTTTACAACTGAGATCAAGAAGGGGGAAAAGTATCCACAAAAGTATCCAGTGCGTGCTCATCCCATGCCTTTTACCATTCCTCTGCTTTTTAAAGCCACTTTACGTCACTTCTACAAACTAAATCCCTTGAAAATCATTGCTGTTTCCTCCCCCGTACCTAAAATCCTCCCCCAGCAAAACCCCAAGAGCGATGTCAGTGTCTGAATTTACAAAAAATCCTCCCGTCACACCTTTGGCTCAATCCTTCCTGCAGAAATTTGGTGTTTGTCTGCTTGGTCCCAACCCAGCAGTGGATATTCCGAGACAGGATGAATCCATCAGCCTTCGCTGAGTTGCCTGCACATGACTTTGCTGTTTCCTGGTGGCTAGACAAATGTAGAGACTTTCTCGCACTTAGATAAATGAAAATGAAAAAAAAAAAAAAAAAAGTCTAGAACAAACATTTTAAATACAGCATGGGTAAGATCTGGGCTTGGGAAAGGCTGCCTCAGAAACGCTGGGGCTTCAAAGAGCAGCAGAAATAGTGATTTAAGCATGGTGGCGGACAGTCAAGGCCCCCCCACCATTGTCCCAACCCCTAAATTAAAGCCACCAACGCATCGATTAGGCAGCAGCTTGAGTCAAGTCCGACCTCCCTGCTGCAAGGCCGGACCTACTCCACCTGTGTCCTCCCCAAAGAGAAATTCATGTCAGCTGTTCTTTCAAAAATCCCAAGAATGGAGATTTCAGAGTCAACCCAGGCAATTTACTCCAGCACTTCATAATCCTTATTCTTCCAAAGCTCTCCCTGAACCCTTCCTACAACAGTTTAAGCCCCTTGGGTTTTGGCTGCTCCACCTGGCCGTGGAGGAGACATCCTTCCTTTGCTTGGCAGCTCTTCATCAACTTGGGGCTCTGCAGCCCCTCCACCTCCTCCTCTCCAGACTGCACAGACCCAGGTCTTCCACTTTTCCAGTCCTTCCAGCCATCGCTTCTCCCCTGGACTCTTCCCAGTGGTCCAACTCTGGTCCCTAAACTTGGCCTCAAAACAGGACCTGCTCCAGCTAACTCCGTCCCTGCCTGTTTCTTGGGGTTTTCCCCCGTTTTCTTGCAAGCTGGCAAGATGTTTACTGCTTTCAACGACAGCTTCAACACGCAGGGACAGTGCTTAGGGCAGAACCACCCTCAAGTTGGGTTTTGTGCAGCTGATACAGACACTTTGGAAAATCCTATTGTCGTTAGTAAAGCTCTTGAAAAAATCCGACAGCGCTGACACCAGGCTTTGTGTGGTCTACAGACCCCTAAGCTTGCTTTATGGCCTTTTTTTTTTCCATGACAAAGGCTGATCCTTGTCCATCCTCCATCAGACACAGCACCAAAGCCAAGGATTTAACAGCTCGCAGGTAGGATCGCAGACTTCAAAACAAGCCATATGGATGCTACTCCTGAGCGTGCACGTACCTATTTGCAGAGCCAGCAGCCACGAGGATGTTGCAGGCTAGTCAACCACCAAAAATCTGTCCCGAGCAGCGCTGAGTTGCAAAAAGAAACCCAGCAAACCGTCCCCAAACCGCTGCCGAGCATCCCTTTAATGCTCTCAGAAGGGATATTACCTGCGAGCGATGCTCCATCGGCTCCGTGCCCCCTCGGCCACCGCAGCATCCGCATCTCTGCCATTATCTGCAGGCGTCTTCATTTCCCATCTCCAGGTGCCCAAGCAGCTAATCCCTGGTTTAAGCTAAATCTTTGCCCTCCTCCCCACCAGCAACGACGTGCAGTACGGATTTATCATCACCGGCTGTCCCTCTCCTGCCCGCCCCTCATTTCCCTCTCTCCATTTTCTGTCCAGCACCACTTACCGGCTGCATGCGAGCGTCAGGGGGAGTTATTTACTCTTCGTTGAGATGTTGTTGTTTGCTCCTAATTTTCCTCACGTTTTTCAAACTTCCCGGAGCTGCTCATCTCTCCTGCTGATGGGATTTTTGTGCCTGCACAAAGCTCTTTCCCTCCCTAATCCCTGTTCTTCGTGGGTTTCAAACTACCCAGGACGCCCCACCACGCTCACACGAATTGGGGTGAAGGCACTTTCAGAGGCTGCACCTCTCAACGACACTGTGATATTTATTTCTCCTTTTCATCCACTTTCCCACTGTACGTAAAATGACTTTGCCATTAAATCACCTCATTTATAGCATCATCCACGAACATACTCATCTCCGCACCCTTCATCCCTCCAGCAAAGAAAAACAACAGCACAAAGCCTTGGCTTTGCCTTTCCCAGCTTAACTGTCCCCAAAATTTGTCAATCAAGCAGTTACGGAGCAAAAATATTTGACCCCAGATAGAAACTCATTAAAATACTTTAAGCACAGTTAAAAACCTGTAGCCTAAAAGCTACACAAGTCCAAGAGGAGCTGAAACACAAATTTAATTGAAGTTAAATGTAAAGCGGGTAACTGTGTCGAAATGCCTGTTTCACAGGTATCTGCAGAATGATCCTCTCAGCTTTCCTTAGGTCAACATTGAATGTAATTTGATGAGCACCTCAAATACATTTAACCTTCCGGTGCTGTTTGAAGCTGCCCAAGACTTTGCTCAGGTTAAAAAAAGAAACAAGTTCTAAAGGCGCATCTCTACAAGCTTGAACTAAGCCTAAGTTAAAAAAAACCTCTTAAACCTTTCGTTTTTTCTGTATTTTTTCCCCTCAGTGCTAGAGTAGAGGAAGAACAGCTGGGGGATGCCCTTGGGCAGCGATGGGACGCCCGTCACCTTTGTATCCGGGCTCCTACGAGGCCAGAGTATGAGTTTCAACACACGGGCTAGGAAAAGCAGCTAAAAACTGACCTCAAGGCTGAGACTGGGACATCAACGGATTTTAGACACACATCAGGACAAATTCTTGCTGCTCACCTGTTCTGCCGGAGCTCTTGGTGCTCAGGTCCCTGCCCCGGCCAGGGGTGCTGGATGTCTTGGAGAGTTTATTCGCCGACACTCGGTACATGACGCCGCCGATGCAGCGATAGCCTTTGCTCCTCCATCTCTGTTGGACCTGCTGAGACTTGGCACCTTGAGGCGACGGGCGTGTTTGGTTTAATAACAGGGATCTGAAAAAAAAACGGTAAGGTTCAAGGTAAGTCCAAATTAGGGATGATGTTGGAAGGAGCTGCTGCGTCGTGAGCAAACTCTCAGCTGCCTGAGCATGGAAGTGATGCAGGAACTTGCTGTAGACAGAGAAACTCCCAATTCCCTGTGGTTTACAGGAAAAACCCCAACCTTCAAGGACTCTCCTCCATGCAACAAAAAGACAATTCTTTCCCCCAGATCACCCACGGCAATGCCACAGGAGAAGAGACCACATGTTGAAAGTCAAGTTCCCACCCAACCGTAGCCTGCTGGGACCCAGAAAAGGTCTTTATCACTGAACTCTGCAGATATCTGCCATCGACCCCAACGCCTTGCATGCAGCACAGCTTCGATCCGTGCTGCTGGTACATCTGAACCAGAATAACTGGTGCATCTGAAACAGGATCCAGGGGAGTCCATGGAGCCCAGGCTGATACCCCATCTCACACCCTGGGCTTGCAGCCCCAGCCCCAGCAACAGAGAAGGACCAGGGCGGGGGTGATTGCCGGCTGAACAGGAGCCAGAGTGTGCCCAGGGGCCAAGAAGGCCAACGGCATCCTGGCTTGTGTCAGCACTGGCGTGGCCAGCAGGGACAGGGAAGGGATCTGAGCCCTGGGCTCGGCACTGGGGAGGCCGCCCCTCGCTGAGGGGGTTCAGTTCTGGGCCCCTCACCCCAAAAAGGCCATTGAATGACTCGAGCGTGGCCAGAGAAGGGCAACGGAGCTGGGGCAGGGTCTGGAGCACAGGTCTGCTGGGGAGCGGCTGGGGGAACTGGGGGG